ATACTACCCCCAAAGAAGTCTATATTTTATTCTAAAAAGGAGAAGTTTAGAATTTCAGAGCAGAAGGAAACAATTTCCTAAAAGACCTCCAAAAAGCTGACAACTCTAAATTCAGCTATATTGCAATACCACCCTTGCCAAATATATATTAAAAAAAAAAAAAAAAAAAAAAAAAAGCATTTGTACTTCTCTGTTGGTTACTCTTACTTAAAGTGTGTATGTGTGTGTGTGTGTGTGTGATGCAGCTGATAATATATGTTGGTTTAGTTGCTATAGGAGGAAAGTATCATAGAATCATAGAATCACAAGGTTGGAAAGGACCTACAAGATCATCTAGACCAACTGTTCCCCCACTACCTATTGCTACCACAAGCCTCTAAACCATATCTTATAGCTCCTCATCCAGATACCTCTTGAACACTGCTAGGAAATGGCCACTCCACCACTTCCCTGGGCAGGCTATTCCAGTGCCTGACCCCTCTTTGAAAGAAAATGGTTTTTCTTATGTCAAATCTAAGCCTCCTCTGTTACAGCTTGCGGTCATTTCCTGGGGTCCTGTTTGTTACCTGGGAGAAGAGACCAAACTCCTCCTCATCACAACCCCCTTCAGGAAGTTACAGAATGCAATGAGGTCTCCCCTGAGCCTCCTCTTCTCCAGGCTAAACAATCTCAGCTCCCTCAACTGCTCCTTGACCCCTCACCAGTTTCGTTGCCCTTCTCTGGATGCACCCCAGGGCCTCAATGTCTTTCTTGTATTGAGGTGCCCAAAACTGAACACAATATTCAAGGTGCAGCCTCACCAGTGCTGAGTACAGAGGGATGATTACCTCCCTGCTCCTGCTGGCCACACTATTTCTAATGCAGGCCAGGATGCTGTTGGCCCTCATGGCCACCTGGGCACACTGTCAGCTCATGTTCAGCTGAGCATCAACCAACACCCCCAGGTCCCTTCCCTCTGCACAGTCATCCAACCACTCATCCCCAAGCCTATAGCGCTGCATGGGGAAGAACAAGTGCTGAACTAGCTAAGACACCACAGTAAGGAATAGCCTGCTATCTTTCCAGGGGTATCAGCTCTGATGGGGGAGCTCCTTGGTGCGAAACAGAAAAAGTAGTCATTAGGATAAATTAGTAAGGGGAAAAAATCAGAACTGAAAAATTTCCTGCCAATAGAACAGACAGCAGCCTCTCTAAAAGTCCATAGCTAAGGCTGTGTTGTTCAAATTATTATTATGTTAGACTGAAGAAAAAAAAAAGCTTTCAATCAAGGCTACTCCTTCAGTGGCAGAAAATTGAACAGGTTACTGTTTTATATTTTCTTCCCAGGTATTATTATCTTCAGCCATGCGTCATCCTCCTATTTCTCCACGCAGCATGATTGGTTTAACATGATTTAGGAGACAGATGAATGTTCAGTAGAGTGATTGCTCCAGCAGGCTCATGGGCTGTGCTTAGGAGCTGTGGGAAAACTCAGAGCTTATTTAACACATTGCAGAATTACTCTCTTACATGGATTTGTTTTGGCAGGAGCAAAAAGAAGTTGTGTTTTCTGTTTTCAGACACTGTCAACTTTTAAAGTCGTTGCCCCTCTTCCCCAAAACCCAACCAGGTTCTGATGCACTGAGATTTGTGTTTGCGGTAAATTGCAGGTGTATGTACAAGCTGCTTGTAGGCCTCCTTCTGTGGAAAGAAAAAAGGAAGCTTTCTTGTAGTTCTAGTGAATCTGAGAGCCAGTTCAGTGAGATAGCCTGAGTTATGCTCTGCTGTGTAGTATGACCAATTGGTTCTATCTTTGAAGATGAAGTCATACAAAAGCACAGCAGTTTAGTTCTTCTATGCTTCATACATTTGCTGACTCAGATTTTAGTACTAACATTTCATTATGTAGCTACAAAGCATTCTCCTATCTTTAAGGGTCATCTAGAAGACTAAACACAACCGAAAAATGTTTGCAGACTACTGAGGAGTTAGAGCTGACCTGTCAAAGTTGGGAACAATGCTACCTTAAAGTCCTTGACTCAACATGTATATAGCTTTTGACAAGAGGTATCACTCAAGGAGAGAGAATTTTTTTGCTAGAAATGTGAGGTCTTTCAAAGACAGCAAGTCATTCTGCTACAAGCAGAAATGTATTGTGGGTAGCGGGGAAATGAATCTTTTGATTATGAGCTCTTAAAATAACATCGTTGCCATTCCCTAGGATGGAAAAAATAGCAGCTGACTCCCTCTGTCTCAAAGGAACAACCAAAAAAAAAAAAAAAAAAAAAAAAAAAAAAAGCCATCAGCATGTTCTGCAAATATAAATGAGAAATGTCCAATATAATAACCATAAACATCCTGTACAAATATAGGATTGCAGTACTAACAAAGTAGTGTAAATGCTAAAACTGTAGTACAGATGAAAAAATCAATCTCTGTTTTTCCCCAGGAGTGTAGATCTATGCTGAGTGCTGTCTCTAGGTACCTATCACCTTTCAGAGTGAGCTTGTGTGGGGAAGGGCGGATGAGGAGTGTTTTTTGCCAGTAAGCAGCACATTATAAGCATTAAAAACACCAAATATGAGATTTATCTCACTCATCTGAACTAGCTGTCAGCAAAAAGGCCGTTCTATTTTTATGTTTTATAAGTCAGAGATTTTAAGAGCTGACAGTCACCTACCTATTACCTAAAGAATCTTATGGCATTCAGTTTGTTCTCAAGAGCACTAAAAGAGCAAACAGCAAGCAGAACAAAAAGGCATACGTATTTAAGTGGTTTGCCAGCATGGAACCCATAGACTCTTCCAAAAAAGACCATGTTGCTGCACTTAGTAGCATTTTGTAACATATAAACCTGTAAATACACAAAATACATATTATGATGTAGTTGTCAGTCTGAGCAAATACTATATTTCAGAAACAGGTGAACAGAAATTGAGCAAAAAAATAGCAGTGTAACTCCTGCGTAAACATTCCTCCATCCAAAGGGCTTTTTATTGCTCACGGGTGTTAGAAAGGCACCAGCTGTCGCCAAGCAATAAGGAGTCGTCAGCTCAGTATTACCCCTAACATTTTTGACCCTACGGGATAGATTTTCAGTAGGTTTTCAATCACACTTAGTCTCCTACTCTCTCTCTGCTTGTCTCTGAGCTGTATGCCTATCTTTTGCTATAAATGAAGTGAGTCAATCATACATTATAAATGCTGATTGCAGCCCCATTAAAGGTTTTATATGTAGATATTATCTACATAAATAAAAAGGTATGATCTATTCAAATGCAGCTGTCTTCATTTGGACCATGCACAGTTAAATAAACACACTCTTATTCATGCACTCTGTAACAGAAACAAAAAAACCACATTTCTGTAGCTGTGATTTCAAATGTACAGTGCCCAAAATGTTATGTTTGCGAAAATTTTGATGCAATTATGAACTCAACTTCAGAGGCCGCTTATTTTATAATTGGGAAAGGAATGATACTCTTCTGAAAATCTGTCCTTTCTCTGGGATGCTGAGCCCATCCAAAAACTGATACATCTGATTCCTCGTAGTTTAAGAAAAGCACCAAATTCAGAAAGGACCATAGTGCTAAATATAAAGCTCATTTGATTGATTGCTACTGACTGTTGAAGATATACCTGAACAATTACCTTCTGTTAAACAGGGAGCTAATCAGTACTAGCAGGTAAATTAAATGCTGGATAACTTCAGCAGAATTTGAAGATGCCAAAAAATATTAAATAAACATGTCTGGAAGAAATGTGGCTCTTCCACAATACAGTGAACAGCTGTAACGGAAGCAGCCATGTTTGTGAAGTGCTGCACTTGCTGTTGATTATAAAGGGACCAATGATATAAGAGTGAATGCTTCTTGACTGAGACCGATAATAAAACAGCCATGCATTAACAAGGATGGACAGTTTTGGTAAGGTTCAGTTTCGTGGTTCATTTTCAAAACTTCAAGAGTTTCAGGCACTTTTTCAATTGATCATTGCTATGCTATTGAAATCAATGACTTGTCACCAGTGGCTCTGTGCTGATGCATTACATTTTCTCCATCTTGGTCAGAATGGTTGATTTCTTCTTGTTCAAAATCATTTCAGAAAGGCTATGTAATTTATCTGTTTTTATTATTTAAGCATTTTTCCTCTTTTCTTTAGAAAAGCCACACTAGAAATGTGTGATCCTTCACATCCATCTATAAATGTGCTCCAGTCTTACGATGCTTTATTTGGAGTCCTTTTTTTAACTGGAGCATATATCACACAGTAGAATAAAAATCAAAGTGCATGTGAGGAAGCAATGAATAAAGCCACAAAGGACTTACAGCCAAACTAACAAGCAGAGCAGGGAAAATCAAGATGATGGTGAACTGGGTCTGAACGTTCATGACTGTTTGAGATTGCTTAATCTTAACTTTTTAACATCTGTGTCTTTTTTTTTCTTCTTCTTTTCAGTTAACATCCTTTTATTTTTCCTCCATTCTTGAAAAAAACTTTGGCAGCATAACTTATCAAAAAGGCATTTTACATTATTCAAGTTATAAATTTCATCCAGGTTTTTCTCTTTCCTCCACTTCATAAAGTGAAATAAATGAAGCATACCCCAGCACCCATCAAATTCTGACTAGATCAAATTGATCTCCAGACTAGGCTCAATTATTATTAAAATGGGTTTTCTTAGAAAATGGCACATAGTGTTTACACTTCTCCTTCTGCTCTTACTGACTCCTCCAATTTATACTGAAGATTAAGGGTATGCAAATATGAATAGTCCCATCAGAAATGTAATTTATTTACAAAGCACTGAAAAAGTAATGCTGAAACTCATTTGAACAATCATTAATACTTTATTTCAGTGTTTAGTTTAGTTTAGTTTTGTTTTCCTTTTTATTATTATTATTATTATTATTTTTTAATTTGCTAGGTAAAGGAATTTTAGTGCCAAATTTGCAATTCTTTACTGTTTAGAATCATCCACATTACCGATTTTTTTTTTTTTTTTCTTTTCTCTAGGACATTGGCTTGGTTGTAGGATTTATTTATCTGGCCAGACATTCTTGTCACCTTACCCAGAACTCCACACATGTAAAAAGTTGTTTTAAAATGAAGTCAGTCCATGTGAGTACGAATAAAGATCTCAACCATTCTATAGATAGGTCAGCATATCAATGTTTTTTTGGAGAGGACGTGTAACTTATTAACTTGGGTTACATCAGGCACCGTTTTTTCTTTTGAGTTACTTTTTCTTGTCACTTGACAACATTTCAAAGCAGCCAAAATGTTCTCCTGACCCTAAAGGAAACACAACTAGTGAGGAAACCTCTTGTTTTATTCTAGCGTAGATTAATTAGATGCTGCCAACAGGTAACTCTTCAAAAAATGAACTGCAACGTGCTGATAAGAATCTTAGGAGCTGGAGTAGCTCAGCTGAAATAAACAGCATAAGGTGGTGAAGTTGTTCTTGCGAGTGACCCATCTGGCTCATATTTTCCTTTGTGCATCTTTCAGTTTATTGAAACTGAAAATATTTAATTAAAGTTGCATTAGGAAAAAATCAGCCACTCTTCCCAGTTTTGTGTCATCAGTAAACTTGCTGACAGTGCACTCTATTCCCTCATCCAAGTTGTTGATGAATAGATTGAATAGTATGGTCCCAGTACCGATCCCTGAGGGATTCCACTAGACAAGGCCTCCAACTAGACTCCTTCCCACTGATCACAGTTTCCTTCAGCCAGTTCACAATCCACCTCACTACTTGATTGTCCAGACCACACTTCCTCAGTTTAGCTGCAAGGATACTGTGGGAGCTGGTGTCAAATGCTTTACTAAAATCGAGACTGACCATGTTCACTGCTTTACCATCATCTATCCACCTGGTTATGTCTTCATAAAGACATATTTTATTTTGACAGGCTACCTGTTATGTCAATTAAGCTACTGAAATTCTCTCCTTAGACATTATTGGCAGTAAATCAGAAACACATCTGATTTCAAGACAGACCTGCAGGAGCAAGTCAGAATTATTTCCCTACTATCCTGATCTGTTTTCATAAAAGTTTTTAAAGCACACTGATGTTGAGAAAGTTCCTGCCATTGTATTTGACTAATCAAAGACTACTAATACTGCTTGTCAGAGCCTTGGTTACAATATAGCCAAATATAAATATCAACATTTGATAATTTTTGCTTTCATTAGCAGCTTTGTGTGATTTTTGAAGACATTCTACTGCGTTAGGACACCATTTTGCTAAGTATCCTCCTGTGTTCAGTGCAGAGGATATTGTTTTGGTATTGAGTTGTATTGAGCTACGGACTGTACTCCCACTTCCAGCATACTTAGCTATTTGCTTATCTCAGCAATTTATTTCTGATCTATTCGTATTTATTTTATCAGTGTGAAATGATAAATGCTGGCTTTGCTGCCAGAGATTCCATTTGCGTATGAATTCTTTACTTTCATTTCCTAAGTTTGATTTATGACTTGCTGTTGAACCTTATCATTTTGTCTTGTACTAACTGTGAATTTGAAATAAAGCTGTAGCAATTTGTCATCTTTTGCTACATAAAGCTTTCATTTGTTGTGAAATACATAGCCTATAGACTGACAGTCCACTCCGCCAACTAATGACAGCTAATGAAGCTAATGAATAGCTCTAAAGTCTATGTGTGCAAATAATACAGGTCTCCATCATAATGGCTGCGCTGGGTTTAAACTTAGAAGGAGTTCCTAAATGAGAGGAAATGTAGAGACGCTTTTATAAGTCATGTGCCAATTTTTTTGCCAATTTTTCTTGGCTGCAAAATACCCAGCATATGAGAAAAAATTCACCATAAACTCCATGAAAAAATTTCTTTTATATGTCTGATATAAAAATGTTTTCTTTGAAAAGAGCAAAAATTCGGTCAACCTAAAAACTTTTCCTACATAAGTAAGAAAATGAGTTGCTTAAATATTACAAATAGCAAAAATCACTGCTGTAAATGCTGTAATGCAGCATTTATATAAAGCTGTACAAAACAGCTTTATATAAATGCTGCATTAAAAAAGCAACACACAAAAGAAAACAAACACCAAAAAAAGAAAAAAAAAAAAAAAAAAAAAAAACAAAACAAAAACCCACCAAACAACAAATCTCTATGCTGGAGAGGCAGCATTACATTTTTAAAGTCAGAACCTTTCTTTCAATAGTATGTTCCTCTGTGTTAACCTCTGTTTTATTCTAAGAAAATTCATTCTGTGATTTCTTTTTGATTTCTTATTTGGATGGGCTTTACTATCAGGCTTACTACTTTGATGATAAATTGCATAATAATCTGGAAAAGCAAGGCCAGACAAACAGAATGAAAAACAGGACAAAAATACTGGTCCGTTCATCTAAAAACCTGAGATCATCATCAATATTTTATAACTTTAAATTCTGTTAGAAAGGATTTTGTAGAAACAAAAGTCCTTGAGAAAACTTTGCTTAGTAAGCAGGTACAGAATTAAGAGAAAATAATTTGTTATAGCAGCTTATTATTGACCCTCTTACTGAACATAAATATTTCAGAAGTTCTGTATATTTTAATGGTATTTTATTCAGCTATAAAGCAGTCAGAGAAAATGATACATATTTATTTGGAAATTACTATCCATTCAGTTTTTGAACAGTAGTTTTCACTTTTGTTGTATTTGAGATCTTTGTTCCTAGCTGAATACCAGCACGTTAAAAAATGAGAAGGTATTTACAGATTTCCAGCACTGTTGCTGATTCCTCCTTCACATGCAGACAGTGAGCAAGCTTCTTTCCTACTTGTCAAAAATAGACTGTGAAGATCATAGGCTTCTTGCTGAAGCTTCTTTCTTGTGCCTTAGAAAAGGACTGAATTGGAGCCTGTTAACCCAGTGACAGCAGTAGCTGGAAGAGGAAGTAGAGTGCAAAAACAGACCCAAACCAGACAGGAAAACTCTTAACTGTGATTTGCCCTTAAAATCATGCTGAAGTCATTCTTGAAGAGCCGTGACAGAGCACTACTGCGCACATGGCTTCTAATATATACCCCTTATGATCACTGTGCCCCAAAGGTCTGTACTTGAAGAGCAAGAAGCTCTCTGGTTCAGTATTCAGTAACCATGCATCCATGCACCATTGTCAAACTACTGCTAAAATTCAAAACATAAAAAAAAAGAAAAAAAAAAAACAAAAAAAAACAACAACCAGAAAAATTCTCTTTCAGTGACTGTTTTTTTCTAAAGTTTTCAACTCATCATTATGCTCTTCTCTAAAATGCAGCAAAACATGTATTTTTCCCTTTCTTCTCATTAGAAAAACATTTCAGTCACTGGCAGTTTAGTTGAGGTGTACCTAGGTCTAGCACAGACATATTTACCATGTGTTTAGTTGAAAAAGAACCATGCTGGGCTTTTCAGTTGCACCAGAGAATCCTCAGAGTAGCAAAGATGTTGTGCACATTTGGACAGGATTTTCTGCAAGGTAAGAGAACAAGGCTGATCAGATCTGACAGTGCCCAGTGGGGACAGGGTAAATTCTTGGACAAAAGTAGAAATTGAGAATTAGTTACAGCATAAACAAAGATTATGTCTTAAAGCACCTATCTGTTTTTCACCAAAACAGGTCCCTGGAGATGTTTCCCTTCACCTTTGTTAATCACATGCAAAGGACTGGAGTTAGACAAGCAGATAGCTGATCTTTGCTGGCCACAAGCTATTACTTCAGGTCTGTACTGCGGTTGCTTCTTCAGCAAATCTGTTGAGCTTATTCTCTTTATGTGCATTTAGTTCATTGCTACTATCTGCTGGAGTATCTGTTTTTTTTTTGTTTTTTTTTTTTCTTTCCCCCCCACCCCCGATTAAAGCAATCATTAACATTCTGTGTTGGGCTTAAAGAGTGCTAGGATATTTTTGATCCTGCGTATTCCAGACATCTGGACAATATTAACCACAAACAATTTGGGTGCAGATGGCAATTTCCTTTTCCAGTTTTAGATTAATCCTATATATATTTTTTAATTAGGGTCACGTATGTCACATGTCACATAAATACCACAGGGAGACCTTCTGTCTGTGCCAGAAATGCTGAATCAGGACCACATTAAAGGAGGCTTTAATGACAGAGAGCACATGGCTTGCCAATGGGCAACAAGGCAATCAGATTCTGACTTTCGGTCTCTGCATGGGTCCAGCAGCCAGCCTGCCCAGAGCAGAGAACAGTCTGAGAAGAGGCACCAGGACATCAACTGATTCTGTTTTATTATTGCCCAAGATTTTACTTTGATCACTGATAACAATAAAAAGGGGAGGGGGAGGTTAAGGTCTAATTTAGGGGAGGAAAAAGGCTTCAACAGAAGCAGGTGTCATTGCAGTACAGGGAAGGTGCTAGACAGCATTTTGTGATGTTTGCTTGGCAGGTCTCTCCATACTATACTTGAATCTATTCTGTTAAGGTGTCAAGAATCTCAATCAGGTCTGATTTACCCTTCATGAATGTATTTTGGGATGGCACAAGAGGCATGCACATGCCATAAGAATTGTACATGAATGTATATGAAAGAGTTTGAAATGCCTGATAGTGTGGGATACAAATTTTGTGCTGGATCCTTACGATTATTTTTTTTTTCTACTGGACCAATTTCCTTTTCCTGCATGCTTGTTTCTTGAGAACAGTGCTGCAAGATACGTTGAGCTTCTGCTTCCATTTATGAACTAAGAGGTTACATACAGGACATCACAAAGGAATATCAAGCCTTAAGACCACATTAGCGTAGAGTCTCAGTGTAATGTAGTCTCAGTGTAATAGTACAAAAAATTTACTTCTTAGCATAGCTGCCTTTTATCTTTCCTGTGGTCCTGAGTGGAAACCATTTACTGGCATGAAATCCCTCTGTCACCATGCCCTGAGTGCAACAGTTTTTCTCTGTACAACCACTAGCCTTTCTGGTATATTTCCCTCCTGAAGCGTAACATTGTAGGAAGGCTGGCACACATGTGTTTATCTCCTGAATTCCCAGGAGGTGAACTGTAGGTATAGCAAAGGAACCATAATGAGGGTTTGCCTGAACACAAGCCCAGGTGTCTCTGCTGATGTGTGACCATATTGCTGCCAGGCATGCTTGTATTGAGTGAGGGGATCTGTGAAGGTCTCCCTGTGCCTATAGTCCTGCTGTGGGGTTAGCAGACACATGGGTTTCAGTGTTCTGTCAGCGTGGAGAGCACTGCTGTCCTCACTGGCCTATCTTCCATAGCTGTAACAGCAGCTCTCCCTCCCTGACTCTTATTTCAGATGAGTTGAGAAAGCATTTAAGAGTTTTAATGATGACAATAAATGATCCCAATGGAACTGATATGCAAATCTTTTTCTTTAGTATATTGCTGAATCAGGTTCTCAAGTCTCATTTCTGACCACAGTGGCAGAAACACACTTGTACTGTCACTAGTCACTTCCACCAGATTGCAACTGAGAACAACTAATGCTTTCACAGAACACTGCGAGTTCTCCAGCTGAACATTTCTGTGCTTAGTAAATATGCTAGTCAGTTGCAAAGAAGAGTAATGAATCCTTAAGTGTACATGAGAATGATTTATGGTATAATGTGAATTTACAGCCCATTACAGGAAATAATTACATTCCACTAATTACAGAATTTAATAGTCACTCCAGCCTAGCAAGCAGCAGTATGAGCAAGCAGATTTGCAGCAGTGCAATCAGAAATGTGAACTACAGGAGAAGCAGGAGAATTTAACTGAAAATCAGGTGGCCTTTAATCCTACCTCAGTTCAGAGATCTAATTTATGACAAAGTTGTTATTTTTTTTTATTTTTTTTTTCTGGTCAACTTTTCTGAAACTTAAAGGAAATGGAATCCTTATGGAGACTGACTCAAAGTGTATTAAGATTTTTGCTTAATCAGTCTTTAACTCCAGCATGTCCAGCATATCCAGCATATCCAGCTGATAAGAATTCTTTGGGAGGAATAAAAAACCTTAACTGCATCATGGCTGGCTTTTGTAACAGATATATGATAAAGTTGTATGGGGTGCAAAACTATTCCTTTTTCACATGCCATCCCTCACACAGTGGATGAGCGATGTAGAACTTGCTTCTTCAAACTGTGGAAATGATTGGTAACTGTCAGAATCAGTTCTATACACGTGGACAATAAAGCCCACCATGTCTGCCCTAAGATTTTCAGCTGGGAAATAAGAAGTCTTTGTCCGTGATACCTAATTCACCTGTCTGGCTCTTGACAGGGCTGCTCACAGTGAGGCGGTCTGCAGTCTGTGCATGTCACATATGAGACCTAGGAGGCAGAGATTTTGTGTTAGGATGTGTTTAATCAAACAGAAAAATCAACAATGCAAATTTTGGTTTGAGAGAACAGCATCTAATGGGAAGAGGAGCATGTTAACTGAAATGAAGAATTTTATCCAGCTTGTGCTATATTATTTGTTGGTCTGAGAGCAGTGCAGTGGGAAAAGCCACTCACTGTATGTATGTGTTCTATTTAACCTTCAAAGTGGCTCTTGTGGTTTTTAAGAATAGCCTGTTGATAAATATTCATTCTATGTTGGATTCAGGAAAGTAAAAACATCTTTCACTGACCAAAAAAGTTTGAACTTAACAAGATTCAGATGGGAAGAGCAGATTGTAAGCAAATTGTCAGTCAGTGGGCATATAATGAGAGTGTGTTGCAAAACTGTTATTTTCGTATGTGTGCATGTTCCAGAAGAGATGTTAAGTGACAATGCTGTCCAGAGTTGATGAATTTTCTGGGAGAGTGAGATAACTGCAGGAGCACAATCAGTTAAATAAGGGCTCATTTAAACACAACTACAGCTTTTCCTTCTGTAACTTTTCAAATTCGGATCAGTATGAAACCAGAAATGCAGTGTCAGCTAGCAGTGGACACTAGATTCTCTTCTCATATTCACAGGTTTGAAAGGGATGCTCTTGATCTCAACAAGACATAGCAGACAAGAAACGTAGTTTCTTTCAAAAACATAGAACAGCAAAAATCTTTGTTTGTGTTTCAAGTCATAAGAATTGTGTTAAAAATTAAGTTCTTCGATTTGTTCTGTTTATTTTGCAAAGATCTAATCTGAAATTAGAATTGTGTTACTTTTTTTCCCCTTCTCTTCTTGAACATTTTGTTAATTTGAGATGATACTTTTTTTACACTGTTATTTCGGAATGAAAATACCCATGCTTCAGTGGCACTGGGCCTCACTGTTTAGTCCTAGCCAAGCTGGTTGATCTAAATATCTTTAATGGAGGCTTACAGACTGCCATCATATAAGCTGATAGATTTCTCTCAATAAAATGCACACCAGCATTTTGAAAAACTGATTGTTCTTCTATCACAGCACTGTATTACTTCTTGAACTTGAATCTAATGTTCTGGATTTTTAACTCAGGTCCATCTCTATTTTGAATTATGTGATAAAGAAAACTGAAGGAAGGTAGAAGTGGAATCATATTGTTTTACCAAGGAAAAGGTCAATAGCAATTTGAGGGGTTTGTTTGTTTAGTTAGGGATTTGGTTGATTTTTATGCTGCTTTCTTGGACTATATAAAAGGAGATTTTTTTTTCTGTGTCAGAAGGAAAGATGTCTTGGTAATTGTGTAGAAAGCATGTCTATCAAAAAAGTAAAGGAAATTCTATTTTGTTCATGTCTGTAAATGTCATGGATCTAACTTCAAAGGAATTGAAAAAGCATGAAAGCAGCATTAGGTCCACAGTGTGTGTGTATGTGTGCGTTTACTACCCTCCACATTCTATTTGTCTTCCAGAAGTCTTCACTCAGCATTCTCTGCCACCTTCTACATGCCTAACCTACTTGCCTTAACGTTATCAAATAAGCACGATTGTCAAAAATTATCTACCTATAATTTATAGTTAATGAATCCTGTTAATACAATTCTGTCATGTCCCATGATTTATAGATTCTATATGAAAAATATAAAAATTTTCTTTTCTACCTGCTAATATATACACATGCTGAAAAGGCTGCAGTTTTCCTTCTGCACTGTCTAGCATTGTAAATTTTGGATGTTGGCTGTTTTTGTTTTTGTTTTTTTTTTCCTTAAGGAGCCTTTCAAAAAACAGCAGAAGTAAAAATGGTGCATAGAAATCGGGAAGGTATTTAGTTGTAATTGAATTTCTGTTTTTTAAAGTCTAATGTTATCTTTACTAATAGCTAGACCTTTCCAGGATTAAAAACAAAACAAAAAAAACAAAAAACAAAAAACAAAACAAAAAAAATCAAAGCAAAAGTGGCTTGGTTTCTACCTCTGTTTACAGTCTGATTGCATAAAAATTCAATATACTTGAATAAACATGTTTATTCACTTAAATAAACATTTTCAAAACAAAAAGGCCAGATACTGAGTTTCCTAAAGTAATTTGAAGTAGTAGTTTACACCATTTGGCCTTAGATTGGCAGTTCATGACTACCTGGTGCTTGAAATTGAGACTGCTTGTAATGACAAGCATGGAAGGCCAAATAAGATTATCACAGTACAATGTAACTCTACCACAGACTTCCAAACTGTCATTTTGTTATGCTGAACTTTAGAGTTCTTGATATCAAACTCTTTATATTCATTTAGTGCTCCGTGTGATAAGCTTCACCTTCTTCTTTTGGCAGATTGTGCAGGTGCTCTGACCAGGACAGCCATTTAATCATACTCATAACCAATCTTTTAGAAGACAAGCCTTTG